ATGCAAACTAAGCCACAAGTAAGTTATCCTTCGTCAATTTTCTCCCTCATTAACATGGTAAATATATGTTTATTCTTTGTCTTTATTAATTTTATTAGTTATGTTTACGTCCATTTCTTAGATTTAGAGCAAGAGTTCATCACTATATTACATAGTATATGTTATATTATCTTAATTAGTTTTATATTTTTCAACATTTTTTATTTTGCACACAAATAATCAAAATTAAATGAAAAAAATTAATCAACATTGTTATATTTGCACAGAATAACATATACAAAAGAATAATGTAATTGGTAATTATCAATGTTATATTAGACCTTACAAATTTGTATGACAATAAAGAATAAATATGCCGCACACGTTTCCAGAACTAGTATTTATTAAAAGTATCACTGCATGAATCATTCCTTAGTTTAAAAATAAAAATAATATATATATATAGTTAAAAGTTAAAAAAAGAATATGTGGAGTTGAAGTGCAAAAAAACATTTGATGGTTAAATGTGACATTTAAAAAAGGTTCAAATAAATGTTTAACTTTGGTACTTTCATGGAGATACATGGTACGATAATTAAGTATGTTACGTTGCTATTTTGGCCCCCTAAAATATTGACTTTTCATTGGTTGATTAGCATCCTTTTGCTTATGTCAAACTCGAGCAATTTAGAAATAAATAGCAAGCCAAAGTCCTTACTAAAATTTTTGAATCTTTTTGTATTTCTTGAGATTATAGGTAAGCTTACTTTCTACGATAACCTCTATATTATTTTATGGAGCACTAATTGCTCAAGACGTAGTTTTTTCCTTATTAATCATTTTTGTATGTTACTATTATACGTAAGCAACTGGGAATCAAATTAAAATACATTTTTGTTACCTATAGTTTCTGTTTTATGTTATTCAAATCAAAACATATATAATCCATTAATTTATTGTTAATAGTGTGTATACATACAACTAATTAAGCGCTTTTGACTTCTCTATTTACTGAACTTTTTTGAGTTTACCATCTTAATTAACTTCTATGTCTTAACAAAATCTATTTTTTAATCCCTCATGCAAAAACTTTTATTCAACAAGCGCGTGAAACTGTGTAAAGGTCAAAGAATGGGCTATAATTGTCATTGTCCCTATTTTGTCGACAGTGATATTTGTGATCGTTTCTGTCCTTGAAACCAAAAATAAAGGACGTTTGCGATTTAATTAAAAATCAATTTAAATAGAATCGATTAAATAAATAAATTTTTATTTATTAGAACATCATAATAGTAGTTGTAATAGTTGTATTCTATATTAGAATTCATGCTTATAGTTTATCTGATACTACATCTTTGTGTAATCTGTATATGTTAAGGAAGAATTCTTCCGTGAAATACAATCGAGTTTTAGCGTATTCATAAAAATTTTACGTGGTATCCGAGCATTGTGAAGACTCAAGTCTCATAATGGCACTTCCCTCAGTTATCAGTATCACCTCGTAAACCCCTTTCCAAAAAATTTCGCCATGCAAGAAATAAAAGAACTGCTTTAAATTAAAGTTGTTTCACTTTATAACATTCTTAGCTTTTATAGTTCTTTTTTTTAATCATTTCTAATGGGAAAAGGCTCAAATATGCCATCGAACTTTTAGAAAAAGCTCATTTATGCCATCCGTTAAAAGTTTGGCTCATCTATGCCATTACCGTTTAAGAAAAGGCTCATTCATGACATTATTTTTTAACAGTGGTTTTGCAAAACCATTTTTTACACGTGGC